TTAGAGGGTGAGAATGACTCTTCCTGGTTTGTGGATTAGTGGGTCATTGTCTTCTCTTAGACTTGAATCCTTACTTTCCCAGAATGAAGGCTCAGGACCTTCATTTGTTGCCTAGTGTCTAAGACTGTAGATTGGGCTGAAAAGTGTCAAGTGAGAGTCTTGCCCAATTTGATCTCACAAGTTCTCTTTTTTACTTTTCAAGTGACCATTTTCATTCTTGGAAAGATTGTGAGACCATTAGCTTCCTTGAATACATTATTTTGAAAGCACTTCATATTTTAATTATCTTTTTATAATATGCATCTCAACACCGTTTTCCTTTCTGTCCTGTCAGCTTTGTCATTTCTGTCTTGTCAGCTTTTTCCTTCCTGTCCCTTTTTGAAAGAGAAGCCAGTTGGCTACCTCCTTTACCTAAACTGTTTTTGTGTTAAAACTTCTTACTCTATGTTAGGAAAAGTGCCACTTACTGTGAAAACAGACTGAAATTTGTGTTTTCATATGTTTTTTTTAAAATTTTTGTTAGGTACAAAACTATTTCCTAGAAATAGTCTAGCATAGACTTTTAGTAGCCTGTTTCTTCCCCTTTACCGCCTTTTTTTTTTAACCTTTCTCCTTTTTCTTCTTTCATTTTTCTTTTTTCTTTTTTAGTAATGCAGATTGAATTCCAGGTCCTTGTACATACTAGGCAAACACTCTACCACTGAGGTATATCCCCAGCTTTTTACAATTTGTTTTTGAGACAAAGTCTAAATTTCGTAGATTGTCCTTGTATTTGGAATTCTTTTCCTTAACCTCTGGAGTAGCTGGGATTATAGGTATGTTTAGCCATTTTCTAAGGGTTTTTTTTTCTAGGTGCTGAATCATTTCCTTTTGTAAAAGCATGAACTTTCTCTCTTCTAAGGTCAAATTTCAGGAATATGATGTAGTCTGTAATTCTGTTTTCTTCTTTGCACTGTGTATGCTAAATATCTTTCTCTGTCATGTTGACAGCTTTATCTTGGTTTTTTTATTTTTGCATTAAGAATTTTCACTTATTCCTACAACAGCTATGCCTATTTAATTACATTTTTTGCTCGTAGTTACAGTTGCTGCAATGTATTGAACATCTATGTGTCCATCTTTGGGGAAACTCAAATTACTTTTCAGTGCATTTCTTCAAAGATGTATTATCTGAAAGGTGTGAATTCTTCTTATGGACAGAGGAAGCTTTTATTAATCTCTGTATCTCAAGAACTTAGCACTTAGTGGGTAGTTATAAATATTTGTTTAAATGGAGTGACCTCATGATCATTACAATCATTTCTTAATTTTCAACTGCTCTCCAGTATTGTTCTGTTTCTTTCTCCAAAGGCATTGTGTTTGTGAGCATATGTGCATGCCTGTATTTTCTTTAATGTAATTGATCGTAGTGGTAAGGAGCCAGGCTTATGGTCTTTGTGAAGATCACATGTCTGTTGATGCTTGGAGTGGACAAAAGCCTCTCTGAGACACTTGGACACAAGAGTCTTATATTCTATCACAGCTGTCATTGAAAAAAAATTTTTTTTGGACATTCAAGCTCATTGATTATTATTAGTATCTTACTATATGTAACATAGCTTTACTGTTACTTAAAAGTTTGTATTTGTAAAATAATTTTCTAAACCTTCAATTTGGCTATTTTTCTCTTTACAACATGGAATTGATTTAACTAATTTATAGTACCTGAGATATTTACCACTAGAAAACTTACTGTTTTTTTTTATTTTGAAAGATAAAAAGAGTGGTATCTATTTTAAATTAAAGTATAGGCCTTTTTCTCTAGGTTATGGCCTTAGATTAAACCTAGAAAGTAATGGGTAGTTAAGAATATGGATAGCTGCCAGGTATTGTGGTTCACGCCTGTAATCCCAGCACTCGGGAGGCTGAGGTAGGATGATCGTTGCGAGTTCGAGGCCAGCATGGGCTACAAAGTGAGCTCAAGGCCAGCCTGAATTGCATAGTGAGACCCTGTCTCAAAAAGACAAAAAAAAAAAAAAAAAAAAAAAAAAAAAAAAAAAAAAAAAAAAAAGAATATGGATAACTAGCCTCAGTGAAGTAATACTGTTAAAACAAATGTTATTGGTTCATATTTCATCATATTGAAATTGTAAACTGTTGTCAATGAAATGTTAACTTTGTAAGCTAATATATTATAATTATAGTCCTTATTCACAAGTTATGTGAATGTAGGTAATTATTTTCAGAATTATATTTTCTTCTAAAATCAGATTTGCCTGGAATATGATTTAGTCTGTAATTCTGTTTTCTTTTCTGCAATGTGTAGGCTAAACATCTTTCTCTGTCATGTTAACAGCTTTTACCTTGGTTTTTTATTTTTGTATTAAGAATTTCAATTTATTCCTATGACAGCTATTGCCTATTTAATTACATTTTTGTTCGTAGATACAATTGCTGAGATGTATTGGAAATCTGTGTGTCCATCTTTAAGGAAACTCAAGTTATTTTTAGTGCATTTCTGTGGTAGAATAGTTATTTTTATGTAGTGATTTTTTTATGTTAAATGTAGAAGTTACAGAGTTAGAGAATTAATAGATCTACTTCCATAATCTATTGTTTGTGTTATAGCAATTTGTATCAGTGTTTTTTGCAGCTTTATTGAGATCTAATTGACATTTGGTAAGCTGTGTATATTTGTATGCTGTATAAAGAAAGACATCACCACAAACAGGATAATACAGATTCCTGTCACTCCCCCTCTAATTCCTTCTTGTCCTTTTGTATTATCCCATCTTTCTACTCCCTTTCTTCTTCCCAGGCTACCACTGATATACTTTTTGTCACCATAGGTTAGTTTGCTCTTTCTAGAATTCTTCTTTAAATATAATCATACAGTGTGTGATCGCTTTTTGGTCTCATTTCATTCAGCATTATTAGTTTAGCATAATTGTTTTGTGATGATCCCATGTTGGTGATTGTGTTCTTTTTTATTGTGGAATAGTGTTCCTCTGCACATGTTATACTATAAGTTGTTTATTCATGTGTTGATGGATCTTTGGAATTGTTTCCTATTACAAAGAAAGCTGTTATGAATATTTGTGTACTAGTTTTTGTATCAACAGAGACATTTATTTCCCTCAGGTAAATGCCAAAGAAGGGAAAGGCTGAATCATATGATACGAAGTATAAATTTAACTTTTAAAGAAACTGCCAGTTTTACAAAGTAGTTGTACCACTTTGTATCCCCCAATTTAAGGATTCCAGTTGTTATTTTGGAGTCACTTTTATCTTCAGAGGCCTTACTTTTTGGAGATAAGAGGTAAAATATTTAGGATTATTTTTCCCCTAGAATTTTAAGAAAACAACTTTTTGGAGAATTTGTGAAAATTTGAAGCTTTTTAAAGATAAGATTACTGTTTTATTCTTTTCCTTAGTATGAGAAATGGAAAAAAATGCATTCTTAAATATTGGTTACATAAAAAGGGGAAAATACTTGTATTTGGTTTTCTAAGTTATTGCTAAGATATTATGAACCATACATAAGTTTTACGGCATTTAATATGAATAAATGTGCATTTAATGGAAGTAACTGAAGATCATTTGTAAAAACGTTAGGGTAGGAATAGTTATAAAAATTTTCTTGCTGGAGGTGGTGGTGTACACCTGTAATCTTAGGTTGCGGTAAGGGGTGGTGTGCTGAGGCAGAAAGATTGCCATAAGTTTGAAGGCAGCCTGAGTTACACAGTGAGTTATTGAGTTCAAGGCCATCCTGAGCTACATAGTGAGACCCTGGTTCAAAAAACTAAGTAAATTTTTTTTTCTTGAGAAAAAAATCTTCTAAGTTATCTATAAAAAATGTGTTTAGACCTCACATATCTCCCGAAGTTGAACATAGTTGTTCTTTTTTTCTCTAACATTAGAAGAAATCAGTGTTTATTTGTTTACCCAATAAAGTGGTTATGAAAAACACATAATTTAAAATACTACAATCTCATTTAACTTGATGCAGTTGAGAATGGAAATAAACCGAGGAACTAGCAAATTAATATCTCATTCTTGATTCTAGTATAAGATGGTGTTTTATTGAGAGGAATGGTGTATAGAATTACCTGTGTCATTTAAAGTAATTTTTCTTTTTGTTGTGTGCAAATGATTAATTTCTCATAGCATAATGTACATACGATGTGACTAAACTATAATGGTAACAGGTGGAGTGCATATAGAATTAGTGTATTAAGAATTAGAGTGGCTGGTAGGAATGTTTATCGAGTCCATGTGCAATTGGCCTTTTTAGTTTTCCCTATGAGATGTACATGGATAAATAGCCATAAATACCTAGTCAGTGTTTCTTTTCCTGCTGTGTATGGGTTTTTATTCTGTGTTATCTGTACTCTGTTGTCATTTCTCCAACTCCCTTGATATTCTCTGATCTCTTTATTACCAGTATACTGCTTGAAACTATAAGTCAGTAGGACAGTTTTATTTTATAGCTCTATTGTATATGTAAGATAAATGTAATCATTTAAAATGATTGTATAAATGATGGTCCAGTTTTATGAACCTAAACTTTTAATTTTATTTCAACATGCCAGATATTTTTGCCTAAAATATTTTTATAAAAACCCTTTAGTTGCCTAATTTGTCAAGTGTATTGTTTGATTTTCATATCTTGCTAAGAATTAATTGTGTGGATCTCTTTCACTGGACTGATGAGACAATGTGGCATAGAAGAACGTTTACTTGACTAGTATCCCAGGTTCTGGGCTCCATCTCCAGACCTGTCATTAACCCATCCTGTGATCTTGGATAAGTCACATTCTTGTCTGTAAAATGTATAGAATGTTATTTTTTGATCATATTGAAAGTAATAAATATTTCTCTCTGAAGAAGGGGAAACAAACTTTTAAGTTGTTTTTAAAATCATTTTTATTTTGCTATGTAAGTTTTCCCTGAAAGTTACTGGGTTTACTAGAAATGACATATAATCACTTTTGAATTTGTGTATATCTCATCTGTTACAGGATGCTTTAATCTGGATCCCAATAGAGTTTTGGATGTCATTTTAGAAGTGTTTGAATGCAGGCCAGAACACGATGACTTCTTTATATCTTTATTAGAATCTTACATGAGTATGTGTGAGCCGCAAACACTGTGTCATATTCTTGGGTTCAAATTCAAGTTTTACCAGGTAAAAAAAATGTATATCTGTATATACAGGTTAACATCATACTTCTATGTGTGTAATATGAGTTTTATTTAATAATCATTGGTTTCAGCTCATTCTTTTAGAGGAAATAGATCCATGAAGAGCTAATGGTATGTTAAGTACTGTACTAGTATGAATGCTGTGATATGAAAGTCTAGAGGCTTGCATAATTAAATTTTGTCTTAGGAGAGAGAGACTCAATGAAGACTTCATAGATATAACCCTTTTTAAAGCTAGTTCTTAAAGGATGAATAAGAGTTCAAGAGTTTTCTATACAAGAGTAATACATAGTGTGAGAATGAAAGTGTAGTGGTATGAATATACAATAAGGAATGGTCCATAATCTGCTATAACTGTATTGAAAAATAGGAAAAGAAAGGATAGAAAATGACTTTGGAAAGGTAGGTTCATTTTAGATTGTTATGAACCTTGAATACTGTGTTATGAGTTAGGATTTTATTATATAGACAATTGTTACTGGAATTTTTATGAATTTGAATAAATACTTGAGGTATATTTTACATCATTTTTCATTACATACTATAATTGCTCTCAAGCTAATCTATATCACTGATTGTTTGTCTTTCAATTCATCTTTTATATTACAAAATTACTACTATTATTACTTTCTAAAAGAGATTTGACTAAGGCACTTTACTGCTCAAAAGTCTTTGCTGGTAGAGTGAAGTTCAAATTTCAGCAAGTGCCAGGAAAAGCTCTTTACAGTCCAGCGCTGATCTTTTTTCCAGCCTTATCTTCAGGCTTTTTTTCTTAACCTAATAATCTAATTATATCAAATGATGACTAGCAGTTTCCTGAATTGCTATGAACCTTTTTTCACGCAGTTCCTTATACCTAGAAAACTATTCTTACTTAACACTCTCACTTCTCTTTTCTTCATCTTGTAAACTCCTATTTATTCTTTAAGATCAAGTACTACTTGCTCTGTAATGTCTTAGATGACACTTCACCTGTGTAGATTTAGTCATTTCTTATAGTTTTATAAAAATTGACACATTTCTGATACTTAATCATGTTACATTAGAATAAATTGTGGCTATTTTTTTTTTGCAAGATTGTGAGCCATTTAGGGCAGGTTCTGTTTTACTAATTTCTGTGAATTAGTTTACAGCTCTACAATAATATATGTTCAATAATTGTAAGTAAGTGCTCTGTATTTTAGGAAGAGAATTCTCTAGGTAGCATGGAAGATGTATTAAGGCCTCCATTGTCCTTTTGATGTGACTTTGCTAATTTGCTTACTTGTCTAGCAGAACCAGCTGGTTAAGAAGTACTCTTTCATTGAATGTTTATGATGTCCTTTGCTCTGTTAGGTACTGATGGTACTCTGGTGCAGAGGAATGCCTACCCCTGTTTTCTTGGAGCTGTAGTTCATGATAATCTGAGAATTCCTTTTTGGATTCTAAGTGATACAGTGCCTGTGCCTCTGCTATTCTTTATTTTTGTATTCTCCAGAATGCTCCAGAAAACAGAAGATATGGCACATCAGTGCTTAAAAGCATATAGTTTTAAAGTTCAAACAAGTCATGTGGAAGGACTTTTAGGCAAGAGTGGTATTATGCCTTTGCTAAAAAATTAGCAATAGAAGCTGTTCTTTTTTCTCCCAGCAGCATGAGAGACCACTCTTAGGCTAGGGCAGTGAATGAGAACCTTTTAGAGTTTTCAGTGATGCAGATTGCTGTGATGCATGTGCCATAGGCTTGTCACTACTGATACTGGGAAACAGATGCAAGTACTATATTTCATTAGATTTTAAGAGGTACCACGGTTGCTTTGGGTTCAAGAACATGAAGCCCACTGCTGAAATAAAAGCATATCCATAATTTAACTTGGGGCATGATAAATTAGAATACAAGTTGAGGCTTATATTTTAGGACATATCATAGTACATAATGCTCTCTGTAATACCAGGTTAATTGTGTTCATAGTTTTAGAATTAAAAATCCTTATATGAAAATATTCCATATAATGAAAACTTTAAGCTGAGTTAAATATACCTGGGGATTAAGTGTTTGCTAGTATTTGTCCTTTTTTGTAGATAATGGGGATTTTCCTTATATAAAATATAGCCAAAAATACTTGATTCACAAATAACCTGTTAATGGAAGAAATAAATCTTATATTGCTGTATGTAATCCCCATTCTCTTATGTCAATTGCCAGATGTATCTTGTCATTTTAAGAGTCTGAATCTTAAGGGCTACTAAGTGTAGAAGAAATGTCAAAGATTTTAGGTAATTTATGATCTTAGGAGGGAAAGTAAGGAAAGCTAAGAAAAACAATAGCTGTTTAGAGATGTAATCTTATGAAAAGGGCTCCTGGTGTACATGGTCAACCTGTATGTTAGTCCCTTGCCTAACTTTTTACCATTTCCTTTCCCTATCACTTCCTGAAAATGTTTATTCCTTCTTAAATGTATTTTTAATTTAGGCTTCTTTTTACCCCTTAGTGCTAATACTTCTAGGCAAAAGTAAATATTCCTACTGTGATGTTGGCAAGAGTGATTTTTATTCTAGTATCAACCCATGAGTTGATTCTTTTTTTTTTTTTTTTTTTTTTTGGTGGTGGTAGTGGGGATCGAACTCACAACTGTGCACTTGCAAGGCAGGTGCTTTTGCCACTGAGCTAAATCCCCAGGCTCTGATCAACCCATGATTAGCTGTTTTGAATGTTTTGACTTGGAAGGGTGAGGGAGAATGTAAACAATTTTAAAAGCACATTACCATTTTGAAGAGTAGGATAGGCATATTTTTATTTCTCTGATTTCTACAATAGAGAGTTAGCAAAAACATGAGGAACAACAGAAAGAATAGTAAGAAGGAAATACTAGGAAGTGTAAGGGTGCCTAAAGATAAACTCTGCTGAAATATTTTTGTCACAGGAAACGAGGAGGAAATGATGGTTTTCAACTACAGCCCCTTGAGTTTTGGATTCATAACACAGAGTAGTAATAATGGTACCATGTTATGCTCTCTCCAAATTCATTTCATTTAAGAAGTATTGTCTGGGCACCCTTAGATGCAAGGTATTGTTCTAGGCACTAGAGTTACATTTATAAACGGAAATACTTGATTTCATGATGTTTATATTCTAAGTAAATTGAAAGTGAAGTGATCCACAAAGTGGTGAAAAATAGAGTAGGATAAGGAACATCAGGAGTGCTGAGGTCATAGATTGCAAATTTAAATAGGATAGTGAGACTAGAATTCATTGAAAAGGTGAGATTTAAGCAAATGCTTGGAGTATATGTTGTACATATACCTGGGAAAGAGCCTCCAGACAGTCAATGCAGCAGCCCAAAGATATGAACATGCCTGATGTGTTAAAGAACCCATGGGAGGCCAGCATGGCTGGATCAGCGTGATTGAGTGGGAGGCAGTAGGATGAAGTCAGAGGTAAGAGGCACTAGGGGACAGAGAATCAGTGCAAAGTCTTAGTGTGGATATTATGTGAGGGTTTTGAATAGGGGAGTGATATAAGTTAGATTTTTCATTTTCTTTGTTTTATTATCAGTATTTTCAAGTATAAAGAGAAGAATAACTAATGTATGACTATAACTTTATCACCTGGAATTAAGTTTACTAATATTTTGCCATGCTTTTTTGAAATATGTATTTATTTATATTAGTTATCATGAAAGTTTCTTCTAGAATATTGTACTTTGCACTCTTTAAGGACATTTTAATCAGAGGGCTAATTTCATACCTAATGAAATCACTGTCATATAATAAAGTGAAACTATATTCAGATTTCCTAAGATGTCCCCAAAGTGTATTCACAACTAGTTTGTTGAAATGATGAACCAAAGACCATATGCTGCATTTGATGGTCAAGATTTTTCAGTCTCTTTTTATTTAGAATGCCTCCTGTTAGTTGCATTGAATTGCTGATAAGATCATTCCTCAGAAGATTCACTTTGGATTTGTATGGTTGCTTTTTCATGGCTGATTTAATTTGCTCTTTGTCTCTATATTTCTTACATATGTGCAGTCAGGTGTAATGGCTTGATTATACTCAGTAAAATATTTAACAGCAAAAAACTTTAGAGGTTATGATACAGGTTTCATGTACTTTAATATCTGATGTCCGTCTTTAAATGGATCAGTAGCAGTCTGAGCCTTGTGTTACACCCCCCACCCTACCACTAAGTTACATGCAGGTTGATACTTTGACACTAAAGTGAATATTCAGTTTCTCATCAGCCTTATTTTAAATGGTTTAGGATCCATGGGTAATCTTTGGTTGAGCCAGTGTTTTGCCCGAAGAGCTCTATATTCTTGGTTTACTAACTTTATCATGCCCTTCACATCCATTAGTTGTCATTCTTAAATAAAGAAGAGTTGCTTATTATCAACTCAGGCCATTTGGTTTCCTTGAAATGCAGTTTTTACTGGAAAGTCAAGAAAATTGCTGTAATATTTTATCATTAGTAACTTATTGAGGAAAGAGCTTCTTTAGTAGCAATCTTCAAGAGTATAAGGGTGGGGGAGGGAGAGAGAGGCAAAAAGAAAAAGTGTGAACATACTTGAGTATGTTTGTGTTGATTAAAGTTTTACAAGGATCCACCAGATTGTGATAGCAGTGAATGTTGGTCAGATTCTGAATATATTTTGAAGGTGAGATTGCTGATGGATTGGATGTAGAGTATTAGAAACTAGAGTTAAGGACTACACATTTCAGATTTTTTTTTATCAAGAAGCCAAAAAGATGGGAGTTGTCATCAGGTGAGATAAGGGAAATTTCAAATGGAATGGATATGGAGTGTTGGAGGTAGTAACAGATCAGTTGTGTATGTGTTAAGTTTGAGAAATCTGTTAGATTTCCAGGTATAAGTAATTGGTATATGGGTCTGGTAAACAACAGGAACTGAATAAATAGTTAGGTGTTTAAATCTAGCATTCAGGAGCAATCATAGGGCTAGAAATGAAAATAGATATATTGAAAGATTAGATGCTGTTCAAAGTTACAATACTTGATGAAATCACCCCAAGTTGAATATAGAAAGATAGAAGAGAATCAAAGACTGAACTCTAGAGCATGTCAATTTTAAGGGCTTTAGAAGAAGAGAAGGGACCAGCAAGAAAGTAGAAAAGGAGTGGTGTGCAAGTTAAGAGGAAAATAGAGTTTATGGCATTTTGGAAGCTAAATGGAAGAAGAAATAATCAACTCTGTCAAATGCTTCTAGTAGGGGATTTAAGGACTGAGCATTGGCTATTGGATTAATCATCAAAGACATAAAAACTGGTTATTTTGATGGAGTTGGGTTGTGTTAAGGGAGAATGGGAAGAATGGAATGAGAGACAACTGACAACTCTTTTAAGGAGATACTACCAAGCGGTGCAGACAGTGGAGTGGTAGGTGGCAGGGGAAGTGTACTAAAGTGAAATAATTTTTTTGTAAAGATGAGAAAGAGAATACTCCTGTATGCTGATTGGAATGATCAAGTAGAAAGGAATATGTGTGGTAAAAAAGAATAGGGAGAATTATTTGGATTATATTATTAAATAGAGAAGGAAGGTTAGTGTGTAAGTAGGTAGGTTGACTTTAAATAGCATCAGAGTTCACTTTTCATAGTAGTTGAGAAGGTAGCATATATAGCTATAGTTGTTGATAGGTACAATTGTGGGATTTTTTTTCTTTTTTCTTTTTTTATTGGTACCGGGGATTGAACTCATGACCACCTGCTTGCAAGGCAGATGCTTATGCCGCTGAGCTAAATCCCCAGCCCCCAATTGTGGGGTTTTTGTAGAAGCCCAATTGATCCAATTTTCTTACTGAAATAGAAAACAGGAAGTCGTTGAGTGCATGGATGAGACAAATAGAGTATAATTGGCCAACAGCATTCAGGGTCTATGTGAGCGTGGATATATTGGTATCATGGAGGGGGTTATAGATATTGGTGATACTAAGATTTAGGATATGAGTTGAGTGGCTAGGATAGGGTAAAGGAAAAGATACTGGGAAGAGAGGAAAGAGTTTAAGGCCAGCTTGGTAGAAGCAGTATATACACATGTATATAAAAATCTCTGAAGTTGAGAAAATTAAGAAAAGAGTTAGCTGAGCCTGGAGGCAGCATGTACCTATAGTTCCAGCTACTCTGGAAGCTGAGGTGAGAGGATCACTACTTAAGCCTAGGAATTGCAGATTAATCTGGGTAATACACAAAAACAAAAACCCTAACCTAAAACCCAAGTAGAGCCTGCAAGAAGAGTGATAGTGAATCAAGAGTGAAGGGTGCCAAGGTCTGTTCAAGCACAAGGTGAATGGGATCTTTGGAAGAGGAGTCTCGATATATAGGGAGATTTGTTGAGGATGGATTAGAAATTCCAGAGAATTCTATGAAAGCGTTTCAAGGCTATGGAAGAGTGAGTTAAAACAGAGAACAGGGATTGTGGAGAATATCATGATCCAAGTGTGAGAGTTGATGTTTGACTTGGGAGTCTGGAGCTCATTTAAATAAGGATAAAAGAAATAATGGAATCTTAGTATATTTCATTTGGGTGGTGGAGGAGAGGTGGTCAGTATTAAGTTAGCCATGTTTTTGTGAGTTTGCTCTGAAACTCTGACCAACATTTGTTTTCATTAAAAACTATTGTGATTCTTACCATTTATAAGCAGACATTTAAAACCAAGGAATTATTGTTAAATTGAAGATATATCTGTATTAAATGACATAGTCTTTAAATAATACGTGAAGTTTGATTAGCTCCATATTTTATGTTCCAAATACCCATCACAGTTGTGATGGGTGAATTAACCACAAAGGTTTATTGTCCATGTGCAGTAAAATAAAAGCTTGGTGTGTTGTCAGTATTTGTTCAATTTTATTCGAACATTTGACTTGGTATTGCCAGTTTTTTATTTTCTATTCATCTGATCCCAGAAGTTTAAAAATTTTCAAAAACTGTTATTCAAAAGATCCTTGTGTTTTAGTGTGTGATCCTCATGGCTAACCTGGAATTGACTTTGATTTCCATGGCTGTAGTATATATGGACGCTTGTTTTGAAGGAGAAGTTAGAAGACAAACATATAATGCTTAATATAGAATCCAAGAAGTAAAAGTATAAGGAGAAAGTAGAAAGCAAACAAATAGTTATATGTGTACACATTTGCCAGTCTTGTCTGTCTGCGCATCCATTGAGAGAAATACTAGAAAAAGCAAGTTAAGAAAACATATAAACACAGATGCAGGCAGTTGTTATACAGTTTAAGTTTTTACTTATTCTGTTCAATTGTCAAATGTTATTCAAATGTATAATGTAAAAGCCTATTTTTAAAACTTTCTCATGTTTGTCAGAAGATACTCCAATGTGAAGAATGATGCTGATACAGTAATTTTTGCCCTAAATTCAGGTCTTTTATGTGACAATGAAGTATATTCTTGAAGTATATTCTTCATTATAAGTAGATAAAAGATACAATTTTAATCGTTTCACTTTATACACTAAGTTGAAACTTTTCTTTTGTTTTAAAGGAACCAAATGGCGAGACTCCATCATCTTTATACAGAGTTGCAGCAGTACTTCTGCAATTTAATCTTATTGATTTAGATGATCTTTATGTACATGTAAGTCAAGTGCACTGCTTGTAATACTTGCTTATCTAGCCCAGGGATGGGGTAGAGGAGTAGGCAGTCATGTAGCACTGCAAGGTTGGTTTTAGCTCTCAAAAGTCTTATTTTTTAAAGCCCTAATACATTAATACTTTGTTTACTTGATAAAATGAATGCGTTTAATTCATTTCTTAGACACTTGTGGAAATCAAATACCTTTTGGTCACCTTTACTGAAGTTAAGATTAGATACAAAGTTCAAATTCTTTCAGTCATTATCAAGGCATGTCTAATGGGAAGAAAAGCCAAGTTTTAATATAGTTTTCTGTTTCTGTATCATGTGAATAACAGGAAATATGGGATTATCCAGCACTTCTTCCTTTTCTCTATAGTGTTAATCTTAGATCCATTGCAAGATGAATGATTAGCTTTGTTAGCATATTTATGTTTTTGGTGTATCTAAAAAGTACTTGTGTTTTTATTGTGTAGCAAATGACTACTATTGTGCCTTTATTGCTAGATTGGGGATTTAGAAGAGTTGTGATTATGATAAATAACCTATAGGTTATAACGATAGTTTAGCTGTCAGTTTGAAAAAGCTAAATTTTCAGTGTATAAATTACATTAGATTTGAATTAGAATACGTGTTGTCTTAAGCGTGTCTAAAGCTGACATTATCTTGTCTGTTTTTGAAATCACTTTATAACTTCCTTGCCCATTTTTATACAGAATTGAATAAAACTTGGTTTCTATCATTAAAGCAGTTGTATTCTAAGAAGGAGAAAAATAGTATTGTAAAGTATGCTATTGGGGGTATTCACAAAGTGATGTCAGAGCTCAGAGTAGATAGTGATCATATATTTTGGATTTTGGAATACGTTTCCAAATAGTGATGTTGAATTGAAATCTTGATAGGTGACTAGGAGTTGTCCAGGTTTAAATGCTTGAAAGCTTTGGAGTTAAAATTAAGTTAATATAAAGGCAAGGAGTTTAAAGAGACTTCATCATCCTATTATGTAACTATCAGGAATCTCAAGTTGGACCCTATGTGGTATGTAGGGGAAATGAAGATGGAGAAGTAGGTTGAAACTAAATTATTAGTAGGACTTTGAGTGCACATAGTCTGTTTTATTTCCTCTTGGGCAGAGACAGCCATTTAGCGTTTAAAGAAGAGAAGTAATACACAAACTGAGAATATAGAAAATCAATCAGAAAAGGGAGAATTTAAAGATGTAGGCAATCTGGCATAACAAATGAAAGATTTAAAATGGTGATAAATTTAATAATGATTATGTCTGAGTATAACAGTAAATGCAAGCAAACCATATGTTCCTATTAAGAAGACAAAGATTGTCAGGTGGGATAAAAAATTTGGCTTATTGTTTATGTTAGATACATATAAAATCGAAGGATATATTTTTGCTTCATATACACCCAATAATATACTGTTTTCAAAATACACAAAAGTACAAATTGAGATAACTGTAAGAAGAATCATTCAGTTTGTGCATTAGAGGAAATTGCAATGGTCCAGGTAACAAAGATGAGGACTAATGCAAGGCATACAAGTAAAGCTGGAAAAATGTGTTTGCCATGCAGACTGAAAAAAAAAATCTTTTTTACCTCCTTGCACCAGTCCATAGTGACTTTCTCCCTCCTTTTTTCTTGACTAATGAATGAAGCCTACAGTATTTAACATTTTTACCTTTTCTTTTATTATTTATTGATTGTTTACTTGGTGTTTGTTTTAGCTACTGAAATAAACATTTCTAGGGAGTAGAACTACTGTTTTTGTAGCTCTATGGTGCTTAGAAACTAAGTAGTTTGTTGATTGTCTTTTTTCTTTATACCATGGTTATTATATGAAATACTTATATTAACCATGATAAAATGTGGCTGTTCTTGAGTCTTTGTCGTTAGAAGGTTGACTATAAATGTTTACTTTCTCTTTTACAATAAAATAGAAACTTGTCTGAGACTTAAATAGATACTTAGAAAATAAAAGAAGATGTCAAACTTGACATTTTTAGAGTTCAAATCTATTCCTTGTTATAATTCAGTAACCCACCCTTCCCAGATTTGATCCATATACAGTAATTTATTTAATTAGGAGATTGGCCTTGAAAGCGGGAAATATGTGGTATTTTTAATGGAATAGATATAGGTATTTTGGGGGGCAGACTAACAAGTTTAGTGGTAACATCACTCTTGTGTTCAGTTAGGACCTATAATAGAGAGAAGACATGAAACTTTGAAATGCTACAGAATTTTAGGATGTATACAAAATTAGGTAATACCTAACCCTGTCAAATTACAATAACTGAGTGAGAGTTTAGAAGGGAAATCCTAGTCATGAATAGGCTAGACTTCTTATTTATAGTTTTATCAAATGAGAATAGTGCTGTTTGCTTTTTATATAAGTATATAGTTGGCACTAACTGTTTCTTGAAATTTAATGAACTTTTTAAAGCTTCTTCCAGCTGATAATTGCATTATGGATGAACACAAACGAGAAATTGTGGAAGCTAAGCAAATTGTTAGAAAACTTACAATGGTTGTATTATCGTCAGAAAAACTCGATGAACGAGAGAAAGAAAAGGAAAAAGAAGAGGAGAAGGTAGAGAAGGTATAGAATTTATTCTAGTAAATTTAACATTGTTTTCTTTATTTAGAAATTTATTAGAAATTACTAGATTTCTAATAATTTCTAATAAATAGCTCATAATAAATTATATAAATTTAACTTCTGATAGTTTGTCAGCGTATGAGAGCATAATTTCTTAAATTTGAATGAGTAAGTACCTGATTTAGGGAATGCTCATTTTGCAGATGTGATTTCATTTTTAATCTGAACGGCACCCTCCCAAAAGAGGCTACTATATTTTTAAATATAAATTTTAAAATATATTCTATGTAAAATCAAAGTGTATTAATTGTATTTTTGCCCTATATCTGAATGTCCCTTAACTCCTAAAGGAATTCTCAAAGATAAATTAATTCTAATTCCCTGTGGCACCATATAGTATTAACTAGTGTTTAATCCCAAGTTTATTAAACTGTAGTGCATATGCCTACTAAATGAAAAAGCAGATCGTATTTTCATTTTACATTAAATATTCAGGAAAATGCTGTTTCTCAGGAGTGGCAGATATTTTTGATACGTTTTGGCACAGAATTTTTGTGTTTAGCTCAATTTTTAAAGAGAAGTTTTGAGATTTCTTGATGTCTGTATCATAAGTATCTTTGTTGTGCCTGTTCATTTTTAGCCACCTGATAACCAAAAACTTGGTTTGTTGGAAGCCTTGTTAAAGATCGGTGATTGGCAGCATGCACAAAACATTATGGATCAGATGCCTCCATACTATGCAGCTTCACATAAACTAATAGCCCTTGCTATTTGCAAGCTGATTCACATAACTATTGAGCCTCTCTACCGAAGGTATGTTGCTGTGTACTAACACTGAGGTAGAACTAGTTTAGGACTACCTTAAAAAATCTGCATATTTATCTTTTCTCTTCAAACCACACATGTGTTATGTATTCTCAAAAGATAAGAACTGTTCACAGTTCGTTGAATATGTATTAGTGACTTCTTTCCTGATGTCTAGTGAATTATGAAAAATTAGATTTACCCCATTAAGAGTGAAAAATTTTTTTCCTCTGCTTTTGAGTTTTCCTCCTTTTTGGGTGGAAATAGACAATTCCTGAGGTTTTTACTTAGTGTGGTGTTTCTCTATCATGGGTTGAGCGACTCTGAGGGAGGACATTAACACTGTGTGCCTTATGTCTCCTGGCATATAGTCTGCTGTTCAGGAAATTACTAGTGAAGCCTCTCTTATCGTCCCTAGTTACTGTGTCAACCAGTCTTGTAGCCCTGAGCCTATTTGCAAGGTGTTGAGGAGCAAATATTGGCAGCAGCTCTGACTTAAGCTGCACAGATAAGAGACTGATTCAAAGCTCCAGGCTAGTGACTTGTGCATAGCTACTGGCTGCTGCCTTCAGTGCCACCTGGGCTGTGGACCATGAAGGCTTCTAAGAGAGTGACCCCAGTGATTCCATAGTGGAACACTTGCTCAGCAGGTGAGAACTCTGGGCATGCTACTTTCTTTAGTATGGTACCTTCTTTCATTATGCTGCTCACCTTCCTTACTATCATTTCACTTGTATCAGTCTCACTTGTATCACTCTGACTGAGAAGTGTTTTATTGACTTGAATCAGTGATATTATATCCATATTTTTCTGTTTCATCTTCAGGTGTATCTGAAGTCCCCTTGTTCTCTACTGCTGTATCCCTATTCTTGATACTGACCAAGTTTAACTCAAATTCATATGATAATATGTTAAATATGACTTGAAATCTACACTTCTCTGGTATCCTTTTGTTAGAATCTATTAATTTGAAACATTTTCCTCTGAGCTCTGATTTTACTCCTAATGAATATTTTTCTTTTTATACCAGCTAAGAACTATTTAGTATAATAAAGTTAAGTACAGTTGAAATACAGAAAACAAATGTGAACAAGAAAAGATTCACTTACTCATTAAGATGATTGTGTTGATTTTAAATGGTATATATTATATATATATTCATATTTATAATTTTTTTCTTTTTATAGAGTTGGCGTTCCTAAAGGTGCTAAAGGCTCACCTGTTAGCGCTTTGCAAAACAAAAGAGCACCAAAGCAAGCAGAGAGCTTTGAAGATTTGAGGAGAGATGTATTCAATATGTTCTGTTACCTCGGTCCTCACCTTTCTCATGATCCTATTTTATTTGCAAAAGTGGTGCGCATAGGCAAGTCATTTATGAAGGAGGTTAGTAAAATTTTTCTCTCTTGTAGAAAACTAAATTTGGAAATGAAAATTTCTGAGTATACCTGTATTTATCAGGATTTCTAGAAATAAGAAAAGTTGAGTAAGGTTTGTGTAAAGCTTATTATGTACTAAGCATGTATGTATCTTATGATTATATCATATATGTATTCTAAATCCTAAACACACAAATAAATACATAAATCATAAACTACAATACAGATCAGGGACCTTTCCCAGGCTGAGTACCCAGTTGTCCACCCATACCAAGACATACAGTAGCACCAGGAAGCTGGAGTTTCCCTTTGTACTCCCTTCAAGGCATAACTCCAGGCATTTTATACTTGTTTTACTTTTTTAAAGTTAGCTTTGAGGTATAATTTATGTGTGGTAAAGTTCTCCAATCTTAATTGTTTAATTTGATGAGTTTTAGCAGATATATACAGTTGTATATCTACTACCACAATCGCAACAAATAATCAGTGGAATATTTTCATTACCCATAAAGTTGCTCTTGCCACCTTGCAGTCAGTTTTCTCATTCCCTTGTTCTGATAGGCTTTGTGTCACTGTGGTATTACTTTTTCTATAGCTTTATGTAAATGGAATTATATATACCCTTTTCTGTCCTAATGTTTTTGAGATCCATGTGAGTTACGACATATGTCAGTAGTTCTTTTGCTGAGTAATATTTCATTATATAGAAGTACTAGTGTTTGTTTATTCCTCAGTTGTGGAATTTAGGTTGTTTTAAATTGGGATTTATAACTAAAACTGCTTTGAATGTGTTGTGCATGTTTTTTGGGAGGCATATATTTTTATGTCCCCAATAGTGAGATTGTTGGGTCATATAAGTAAGTGTATCTTTAACTTAATGTAAAATTGTCAAACTGTTCCAAAGTGTTTATACCGTTTCGTATCCTTAGGAGCAATTGTATGAGATTTCCAATTGCTCCATACCCTTACCACACTTAGTATTTTCACTGTCTTACCTCATTCCATTGAGTAGATATGTTGTTCTAGTAAGTATGTTGTGTTCTCTCTTTGTGCTTTTTTTGTCTTTGATAACTAGTCATAGTGATCATCTTTTCATGTGCTTATTTGCCATTTGTAATTATCTTTAGCAAAAGTATTGTTCATGCCTCTTGCCTATTTGCAGATTGGGTTGTCTTTTCATTATTGAGTTGTATATGTTTTCTATATATTGTTAAGTATAAGGCCTGTATCATACTTGATTTTGAAATTATTTTTCTTAGTTGGATTTGTCTTTTCTTTTTAACTGCCTTGTGATAAAGGAAAGGATGTTTTCTGATTAATTCCAATTTAATGATATTTTTATTTTTTTGTACAGAGAAATCTTCTTTTTTAATTGGTACCGGGGATCAAACTCATGACCACACACTTGCAAGGCAGGTGCTTATGCCGCTGAGCTAAATCCCCAGCCCTGAGAGAAATCTTTGCCCAATCTAATACCTTATATCTGAAAAGGATGTATAATTTTGTGCTGGGTCTGGTGGTCTACCTGCATCCCCAGTGGCTTGGGCACCTGTCAGGGGGATTGGAAATTTGAGGCTAGTTGGGGCAACTAGTGAGACCCTGTCTCAAATCGGGGGGAAAAACCACTTACCTCAGTGCAAAGGCCCTAGGTTCAATCCCCTGTACTACTACAAATTTATATATTGTTTGTTAGTTGCATTTGACTTTAATTTTACACAATAACTTAAGAAAAATGAACAGTTTTTGTATTTGAATCCATTGATACCTGGAATATTTGACTTAGTTTTTACTACTTACCTTGTAGATTGTTCTTAATGCTCACAAATTTGCATTTTAGAAAGGTACTTTAAAAGATATCTGTGAAGTAAATGTTACTATACATATCATTTACTATTTAGCACATTTATGCAGTTCTGAAATGATAGTGTTTCACCATCTTGATCATTATAAAGGTTTAGAAAAAGATGAATCATGTTAAAAGTACCAGCTTCAAGAACAAAAGGGGCAGGCCTGGTATATAGTTTGATTCCTGGGACCACAAAAAAAAAAGAAGAAAAGGGCAATCTGTCTTTTTCAGAGCATCACATTAAATTTATTTGTTCCATTACTAGTGATACTAACTTTAATTACTTGTCTAAAGTCTTAGCATCAGGTTTTTCCACTATATGGTTATAATTTTTTTCTTTGTTTTATGTAATACGTATTTTATGAGGAGTTACTTTGAGACTGTAAACAGCCTTTTTTTTTAAAATCATATTTTCATGTAAGTTATGCAGTTCTTTTTAGTTGAAAATATTAAAATGTTCAGATCTCTTGTTTTGCAGTTTTTTGGCTATAGGTATCATAAATTTTTAAACAAGAGACCAAACATCTAAATTATGGAAATCCTGTACAAATACACATATATACATATACACTTTTGCCAAGATACACAGTTGCTAGAGCTGCCACATTTCCCCTTACTGCTTTTCCAATGCAGTCCTCCTCTTTTTTTTTCTGTCCTACTTATACCTGGTTCTTACACCATCTCCATTCCATTCTTGTAGTAGAGGTAGAAGATGAGAAAAATATTGTCAGAGCCAGCATGTCAAGCAGAAATGTGTCTTTTGCTATTACTAGTGTTGTTGTAGGAAAAATGAATCTTTTCAGTAATCTAAGTCAGGAATTTTTTTTGGCCTTTTTGAGACAAAGTCTTGCCGCGCAGTTCAGGCTGGCCTTCAACTCAACTTAGTAGCCCAGGCTCGCTTCACACTCACAGCAATCCTCCTGTCTCAGCCTCCCTAGTGCTGGGATTGTAGGCATGCACTATACCTGGCTTTTGATTCATTTTTGCCCATAGAAATATTTTACTATGACCAATTCTTTGGTCTGTGTTTATGAGTTTAGAAGACTTGTTGGCCTAGTTTGGAATTCAACCAGAATTTATAAAGTTCCTTTAAAAGGTGACTAAAACCTTAGTTCCAGATAATGTATTTGTAATTAAACTGCCTTGGTGGTGGAGGCAGTATTTTTATTTTTATTAATTTATTATTTTTGAGGCAGATTCTCACGGAGACACGAAGTTGCACAGGCTTGACCTGAACTTGGAATTTTTATACCTCAGCTTCCCAGAATGCTGGAATTACAGACATGAACCACTGTAACCCCAGCTTCAGTTAAACTTCTTTGATAAGTGTCACTCAAGTTTAGAGCCACTTACACATGTTTTTTAAAAGTAGCTTATATGTTTGTATCAGCTATTGCTTAACAGAATAGTTTCCTATTGTGTGGTTATTTGAAGTCAGTTACTTGATTGTGTGTATCTGTATTACATTTGAAGTATGTAGTATAGGACTTTATTGGTACAGTGATACTCAAACTTTAGCATATAACAAAATTACCTGCAGGGTCTGTTAGAATGCAGATGATCAGTCTTACCTTCAGTATTTCTGATCCAGTAGATCTGGGTAGAATCTGAAAATTGGTGTTTCTTACAAGTTCCCTGATGATGTTGATGCTGCTGGTCATAAGACTAAATTGTTCTAGTATAGCAACCAGTATAGCAACCAGTATGTTTTCGTACTTCCCCCTTATAATGGGGTGGTTGTGAGTCTATATAATTGTTACATATGAAAGAACTTATTTTGCTATCATTAAAATTTCCTTTCTTCATAGAGCACAGCTTTGATGTGCTCAGCTGACATAAATGTTTTTGGTCACACCTACGCACTTTATTTCTAAAATTATTTTGCTAGTATATGTTTGCATTGCACATTCATCATGGGGAATTGGTACATATACATATGGCATATTAATCCTTTTTACATTCCTTTCTGTCCTCCTCCTTTCCTTCCATCCCTATATCCCCTTTTCTTCCCCCAAAAGTATTTTTCTGTTTCCTATCATCTTTTATTTTGCTCCTTAAATTATTTTTCAGTTCACATGTAAGAGAAACCACGTGGTATTTAACTTCTGTGACTGATTTATTGCATTTCACACCATTGTCTCAAGATGGATTCGTTTTCCTACAAATGACTCAAATTTATACACCTCGTTTTCTTTATTCTTGCATCTATTGGTGGATGTGTAGGTCATTTCCAAGATAAAGCTATTGTGGGAGCACCTGTACACTTTAATTTTTTTTATTTTAGAGCCATTTTAGGTTCTTAGCAACATTGAGAGAAAAGTACAGAGATTTCCCTTATCTCATTCTACCCTCAAACATAGATGGGCTCCTTAATAAATCAGTGTCCCTCATTAGAATGGTATATTTGTTACAAGTGGTGAAGCTACGCTGATACAACACATTGTTGTCACTCAAAGTCTATAGTTTACATTAGGACTTACTTTGTTGTACATTTTAGTAGTTTAAACAAATGTGTAATTACATTTATCCACAATTATAGTATCACAAGGAACATTTCCACTGTCCTAAAAATCCTTTGTGCTCTGCCTATTTATCCCTCTCGCCTGACACCTGGCAACTACTTGATTTTTGTACTGTTCATAGTTTTTGCATTTTTTGGAATGTAATATAATATCAGCCTTCCTCCTCCTCCTTCCTTTCTTCTTTCTTCTTTTTTTTTTTTGTGGTATGGAGTATTGAACTCCAGGACTTGTTCATGCTAGGCAAGTTCTCTACCACTGAACTATAACCCCACCCTGTCAGCCTTCTATTTATGGATTCTGCATTTACAAATTCAGCTAACATAGGACATACTTTAAAAAATATATCCGTACCAAACGTGCATAGAATTTTTGGATAATTATTCCCTAAAAAATGCAATACAACAATTATTTGTACTTTGTTAGGTAATGTAAGTGAGACATGATTTGAAGTGTACAGGAGGATGTGCTTAGGTTATATGTAAATACTGTGCCATTGTACAGTTAAGGGACTGGGGCATCTATGGATTTTAGTATCTTAGAAGCAGTACTCCTCAGATACCAAGGAATAATTGTATTTGGAATCTGTCTTAGTTAGTTTCTTCGTCACTGGGGTTAAATATATGATATGAGGAGAGGTTT